TCCTATAATTTTAATTTTTAAACTATTAAACATCTAAACTTTCAAATATGAAATTTTAAATCTTGAAAATATAAACCATAATGCATTAAATACTAAATTCGAAAAAAATCTAAATCCTAACATTATAAAATATATAACAAAAAAGTCTAAATATTACTATTATAAAATATAGAATTCAAAAAATTTAAACCCTAACACCCTAAACATTTAATTCAAAAAAAAAAAATCTAAATCTTAACATCTTAAATATTAAACCCTAAAAAAATTTAAAATCTAACTAACATCCTAAACATTTAATTTTAAAAAATTTAAATCCTAAAAATTTTAAACTGTAGCACCTTAAACCTTGAACCCTACAAATATAATTTAATCCCTACTATTACAATCACTAAACCCTAATGCCCTAAATTAAAATAATCTTGTTTGATTTTAAGGACTTAAAAATTATAGTCCTATAACCTTGAGGGCTTTTGAATTAGTTACGCCCTTTCTTAGAACCAGGAATTAAACGAATGTGGCATTGCCATGTCTGCTCGGCCTTCTGTCGGCATGGCGGGCTTCTGCCATAATAGCATTATTCTTTACAATTGGAGCTGGACTTTTTGGAATTATTTTAGAAGAATTATACAAAAAATTATTGGAAAAGTGTTTTATACGCTGCTATTTTAAATTTTTTTTTAGAGAATTAATATTTTTAAAAATTAATTATTAAATTAAAAATTTTAGTTATATAAATCATATATATTAAATTTTAAATTAATTTAATAAACTTAATTAATTTCTTAATTATATAAAATTTAACATTATTAAATGCATAACAGTAAATAAGTAATTGATCTAGTAGGCATAACAAATTTGTTGATAGGAAATGGACCTGGTTGACACCACAGAAAGAGGTATTATTTGATGTTCCCATCTTATTTTACATTATTGGAATAATTGATACGAGAAAGGAATATGTATTCCTAATCTGTTTTACTTCCTCTTTTACTAATTTCCCTTAATAATATGCTTTGATTATGGAATATATATTTCATCCAACCAAAATATTTACCGAACTATTGAATGAAGTGCCATATTCTCACGCTCTTTTTTTTTTTTTTTTTCAATTATAAGTACTTATCTTATTTTTGGGTTAAGGAGAATGAAAAAGAGGGAGAAAGGGAGAAAAAAGAAATTACATTTTTTTATTCTTATCTGTTTCTCTCATTTGGAAAAATAATTAAATTAATAAGAAAAATAAAGTAAAGAAAAAATTTTCCTCTCTCCGCTTTAATTTTTTTGATGACCAAATATATAATGTTTTTCCTCTTTCCTCTTCTTCCCTTCATTTCTCTCAATCTAAATATACTATTAATGCAATAGTTTTAGCATGTTAAGATATCTCACGTTGTTTGTGAGTTAAATATGGTAGCTGATAAAATGGTAAAACTAGGGCACTCCATTACTCAAGACTTCGACCTATTTGTTTGAACATGTCCCTGACTCTAGTAAACTATTTTGCATTGCCGACATTATTGGAATTGAATTTCTTAGATCCTATTTGAAACTTTCTAATTTATGTTTAATGCATCTCTAATTACCGAATAATAATAATATACATACCAAACGCACCGGATCAGAAAGTTGTTTGTAGAAAAAACAGCTATTCGCCCTAGGCGGCATCAATTGCTTTAAGCAAAATACGATGGCACGTGATTTTATGTTCGTCAAAAATTCTCTTCAGGTTCCGGACTAATAAATGTCTCCTCAAGATTATGATTTCCCCGTCATTGTGAAGTTCTGTCTTGAAATAAAAAACACCAAGAACAATTTTCAACTTCTCATCTTCAATTTCTTTCAAATTAAACTCGTATTTGCGTAACCATTTACCTTTGTTCTCGATCAAGAAACTGGAAGTCAAAAGTGATGTCATGCATACAATATTGTATGTGAATAAAAAAAAAAATATTACTAAACTTTAAACAGAAAAAATCTATTCGTTGTATTCCCTGGGTTGAGGATTTTTCTGTTAGTAACCCTAACATCATGCTCCGTTCAACTCACTTCGTATTTCGTGATTTTGGCATAAAACTAACAAAATAAACCAAATAAGTGAATTAATATTGATATACAAAAATAATACATATCAATTTCAATTCTCATAAAAAATTAAAGTTTTAATTTCGAAAATACTTTCTTTTAATTAATATTCTAAAAAACTAATTATTGTATTTAATATTTTATTTATGTAAATAATAAATGTTAACTTTTAAATTAATTGAATATATTTATCTAATTTATTATATAAAATTTAATATCATAAATATATGATAAAATGGTCTCTCTCATAATAACTTTCAAGTTTCAACTTAGTTATTCCCTTTTGGTTAAAATTTCATTTTAGTCTCTCAATTTTTGTATTAAACCTGTTTTGGTTCCTCAAGTTTTTTAGTCCCTTTGTTTGCCACTCCCTCCTGTGAGATTTAGTTGTTTTAATTTAATTTTTACATAGAGTTTGACTTGTTGATTTTACATGGTAAATTAGACTTGGCAAATGGGTAGGTTGGGTCGAATTGGGTTGGGTCAACTTAGGTGACGAGTTATACAGGTTGGGTTATGAACGGATTGCGGATTGAAAAAATTCAACCCTAACTCGACCCTAACGGGTTACAGGTTAACCTGCGAGTTGACCTTATTTTTATTTTTTATATTTTTTTTATTAATTTTATTATATATAAATAAAATTATATATATTTAAATCTAATTAAAGTATTGTGATTCAAAAACTAAATATTTTATAGTCTCAACTACAAACAATTAAATTAAGAAAAAAATCATAAAGTTATAAATAATAATAAGTTGATTAACAATAACAGTATTAAACGTAAAATATTTAAATTTCTTGAAAAATAAAGTTTTAATTTTATAATTATCTTGAAACATTATCAACTAGTTTAAGCCATTTTTTTAATGATGAAATTGCTCTTCCAAGAACATTTTTCACTAAGTCATTATGTTTATGTACTAGCATCACAACTTTTAATATTTTTAGTTGCATTATCATTTCATTCATGATACTTGGGTAATTGTTAATATCAAAAAAAAAAAAAATGATACTCAGGTAATTAGATTAAACTCATCATAATTTCTTCGTCTTTCTCTAGAAATTAGGGAGTATGAATTAATGGAAGGAGTTACCAATAGGAAAATTAATTAAGAATAATAAGTATAATATTTAAAAATAATAATAAAAAATAAAACAAACGGATTAACCCGTCAACCCATAGGTTGACCCTAACCCAACCTGTGACTCGTACGGGTTGATAATATGGGTTATTTACGAGTTGTAGGTTGGGTTACGTAGACCCTAACCCGTTTTTACGAGTTGGGTTAGGGTCAAGTTGATGGGTCGGGTGAATTTTTGTCAGGTTTATGGTAAATGAATAACAATTAAAGGATTTTTCCAACTTGTATGGCACAGATGACAGGTATAATTAATACACTTTTTTACATTAATTGATATTAAAAATGATAAAAATTAACATTAATTTGATCACCTATGTCACAAAGATTATTTTACTTGGGTAGTTGATTAAATAAATATCAACCTTTATTTTTTCAATAACAATTAATTCTAAAACTCATAATTAAGAAATTTTTTATCTAAGGAAATTACTCAAAAAGTATTGTGGGCAGAAAGAAAAAATATTTCAATTCTCATCTAATTATTACTCACTTTGTTTATTTTTATTAATCTTAATTTGACATTCTGATTTTTAAGAGAGGAATTTTAGATGAAAATTTAATATATTATATAAATAATAATTGATTTTTTTTATCAAATTAAAATAATCAATAAAAACTTAATGTAAGAAAAAAGTTTTCAATTATTATTTATATAAATTGTTAAAATTTTATATAAAATAATATTTAAAAATTTTAAAAACTAAATTAAAACTACTATAAATAAATAAATAAATATAAAATTATTTAGTAAAACTTTTTGCAAAATTCAAATTAAGAACTTAAGCTGAGTCGAGGGAGTAGTTAATCGATGATGTGGCTTTATATTCGGTTAAGTAATTCCATTTTTTAATATGAAATATTAGGTGGAAATTTTGGGAAGCTGATATGGCCATTTTGTTTCTTTAAAAAAACATTTTCCTCTTCTTGTTTAACTTGTATTTTATGGGTACAGATTAATAGAGTGATAAATATACCTTTTAATAGTTAATTTATATAAAAAATTATAAAAATTGATATATATTTTAACACCAATGACATGTAAATAATTTTAATCGGTTAATTAATAGAACCAAAATTAATATTTACACCTTCAATAGATTCTAATTATCAAAATAATATATTTATGGCATTATTAATCCGTGTCTTAAAGGCATATGATATAAAAACCTTTGAAATTATAATGTGGTATTGGGACCCATTAAAATTGAAGATTATAATATCAATTATAACTATAGGTGTTTATATCCAATCTAATCCGATTGATTTGATTCAAATTGGTTGAATTCAGTAAAAAACCAAACCAAACCAAACCAATATAAAATTAGACATGTTTGAATTATAAAGTTTTAAAACCAATATAATTGGTTTGGTTTGTAGTTTTACATTTAAATTATCTATGTTCGATTATAAAATAAAATCTAATTACAAGATAGCTTAATTAAATAAGATAATATATTTTATTGTAGCATTTAAAATTTTCTTTTTCTTATTTTACAATATAATAACTCTATTAATTTAATTAAAAAATAAAAATAGAATATCATTATATTCTTTAATTTATTTTTCCTTCTTAATCATACACTCTAACCCTAATTCTAAATTTCTAATTCATCTACAACTCTATCCCCTCATAATTGGCATGTGACTTTACTATTAGAACTCTAAATTTCTAATTTATTCTTAAAATTATATTTTCATTCTCCTAGTTACGTTTTAAAGAAATATCATTCTAATAGTTTGAAAACTGCATAATAGAATTAATCTTGATATTCTACTATTTTAGATGTTTAGTTGAAGAGTTTTAAATCTTGATTATGAATGCTTCTAATCAATCTTAATGATATTCATGTTAAAATTTTATTCATTTTTAATAAGATTTAGAAGATGGGATTGAATCATAGGTGCAATAAGAAAAAAAAACTAATTTTAACATTTAAGAATTACTTGCACTATGATTAAAACTTGAGCCATCTTTTATTGTTCTTGGTGCATCTAGTGATGTAATCAAAAAGAATTTTTAGATCTTTTCAATTTTTACAATTATAAATGAGTATAAGAATTTATTTATAATTTTTCTCTTTTCTTATTTTTTACTGATTTAGATATTAATATGTTTTATAGTTATGTCTTTTACTTGATGTTAAAATTTTTTACATTATCTCATATATTTAAGAGTGTCAAAAACCAATCAATTAGACCAAACCACACCAATTTGATTTAAGTTAGATTAGTTTGATTATTATATAATAGTGGATTAGATTGATTTAAAAATTTTACTAGCAAATTAAATTAGATTGATTTAAAAAATATTGTAATCTAAACCAAACCACACCATGAATACCCCCTAAGTATAACCCATTTAACTCCCTTAATGTTTAATTAATTAATAGGAATGTAATTTACAAGATTATCTTATTTTACAGTTTAAATTATACTTAAATATAAAATATGAGCTATTAGATAAGTATAGAGTCCCACTATCAAAAGGTCACTCTCATTTAATGGTTTTTTTTTTTTTTTGGTAATAACTCCCTGATATTTAAAAGTCACATTAGGTCTTGACTACTTTAGAGTCAAGTCGGGTCAAACCCCATAATAAGAAAGCTCTTCCAATGTCTATTTCTTCATTTATATAACTTCAACTTGAGATCTTATTTAAAGAAAAAGTTATTTCTTTCCACTTGGACTTATAAATTGTTGGTTTTTAATAATTATAATTGTACATGTTGATATAGTTAGACTATACTTTTTTCAATATACAATTAATTAATAAATTTAAAAGGTTAAAATATGTAATTAAGCATTTAATTAAGAGCATTTTTCTTGCAAACTTCTATTGGCCTTTTTCCCCGACCTTCATCCTCCCCCAAAGACCTCTTCCTTTCTTGAACTTTCTCAAAATAGGAGAACACACATACCAGGCTTGTGAATTGAATTTTTGGATTTTGATTTCATCTCGAGATTCTGGTTTTATACCGTCATCTTCGCCGATCTATTCTCATCTCATGGTTCTCCATTGAGAACCCAGATCTGGAGATTGAGAGGGTTTGACAGTTACTTGATGAGGTATTGTAGTTTACGGTAGTGAGGTGATCAAATTAAGTTTCTTGCAATTTCTCTTATTTTTGGTAGCAACCTTATGTTTGATCAAATTAGTTTGGGTTCTTCCTTGATTACCAAAAACAATCTATTAAATTTGGGTTTTGTAACCCAGAAATGTGGGTTCCATGAAAACCAAAATTTTTAGGTTCAAATGAAATCTAGATGCCAGAGTTGCAGAGGTGTTTCCTATTAATGGAGAAGAGAGAGAAGATGAAGTGTCATAACCCAATTTTTATTAGGGGCTAAAGGGTAAAATTAGAAAGTTAATGGACCATTTTATAAAAAAATGAAACCTAAAGAGCCAAAGGGAAAAAATAGCAAAACAATGCGGTTTTGCTTATAGGTTGAAATAAAGGTAAATCCTGGGAACCCTAGCCGCCTAAAAGCTTATCTTGCTACTCTGCCACTAGCCATTCTCAAACAGGAAAAATCATTGGCTCATCCCTAAATCCACTTGAGTTTTGAAGAAATTTTCAGAGATTGAAAGTCATCATCAAGAGTCATGGAAGAAGAGTTCAAGATTGATTCAAAGAAGGGGAGTTCTAAGCATAAAAGGTATGAATCTAGACTTGAAAGGGGGTAGATGTGGGAAAAACTAAGAAATCCCATTCCAAATAGGATTGGGTCATTATCTTAAGGATTTGGATTGGATATTAGAAGCATATTAGGATTGGGTTTTTCCCTTTGTTTATAAAAAAGGAGCCTTCAGCTTTAGGGGGCATTCGAAAAATTGAGGGAGAAGGGGGAAGAAATTCGAGAGCCAGTAGAAAGGGTGTTAAGCAAAGGAAGGAAGAAATCTTGTATTTTGAAGTTTGCAGCAAATTAATAAATTGGCTTTTCTCCATATCAAGTGTGTGTGTGTGTGTGTTTTGCTTTTTTTTTTTTTTTTTTTTTTTTTTTTTTTTTTGAGAATATGGAAGAATGTGGATTGTGAATCTCAATTTTCTGTATCTGTTTTTTCTTTTTTCTTTTGCTTCTTGGTTGCCATATTAATCTGTTTATGAGAAAATTTTTATTGGGTGCATACATGTTTTCTTTCTTCATTGCTTTTCTCTTGTTTTGTTCATCCCCTGATTTCATGGTTATTGTCTTATTTAATCAGAGTATTTAACAAAACCGATTACCATCATGTTAAGTTTAGTCACTAGTTTTTTTCCTTAACTTGGGTATCGTTCAAAAGTTCTTGCATGGGTGATGATATGGGTACTAATGAGATAGTTTTATGCTCTAGTAATCTCAAATAATGAACATCATTTTTTTAGAAAAGTTAATTTTATTTTTCATATCATAAGGGTTTTTAGGATTTGTGATTCTTTTCTTAAAATGCATTAGACTAAAAAGAAAACTAGAAATGAAAAAAGAAAAGAAAAGAAAAGAAAAAAACCAGCAACGAAATAAAAAAAAAGGAAAAAAGAAAGGAAAACAATTTAGAATAGAAACAAAATAAAAAAAAGAAAAAAAATAGAAACGAAGAAAGAAAATGAGGTGTTTTAATTGATTTTTTTTGTTTATTTTTCTTGGTAATTATCATTTATTGAAATTTTTCCAAAATTAAAGTATGTGGTAAACATATTTATATGGAAGTTGTAGGGTGCCTAATACCTTTCCCGTGCTTAATCAACCCCCCGAGCCTAGTCAATTTCTATGTAGATTTTGGTGATCTATCCCACCTCATTTGGATCGATGGCAACTCCATCCATTTTGGCACATCAACAGTTTGGTGACTCCATTGTGGACCATTGAGGGGTCAAGCCATTTATACTTTAATTTTAGGGTTTTTCAATTACTAACTTTTGTTTTGTAGGTGGCATGGAGTACCTTGTAAGCTTTTTTTCTTTTGTTATTTTATTTTATATTTGTGTTATTTTCATATGTTAATTTATGTGTATACTCCCTCACACACTTCACTTGCATATCATCTTGTCCTTGATGAGGTGAACCTAGCTTCTAGATAGATGGATAACTCATGGAACAATGCAAAGCGCAATGCTTTCCTTGTGAAGTGAGATTTATCTTTTTTAGGTTCATTTTGTGAGTTAATATGGCTTGCCAGCCATAATGCTGCTGCTGTGTTAGGTCATGAAATGCCTCTTGTTAACTTTATAGAAGTTGGCAATTGTTGATTTTATGGAAGTCAATAGTTGTTGATTTTATGGAAGTTAACAGTTGAAAAAGCCTAATCGTATAGGATCCACTAGGAAACAGCATGTAATAGACGTAGATGAAAACTTAACCATAAGATGGCCAGCCTAGTAAACCACCTTCAAAGTTTAAGAACCTTAACATAGGACACGTAGGGAGTATTTTATTTTTAAATAATGTTTTTATGTTTCTGAGGTGAGGAATTCGACCAAGAGGTATGAAATTTATTAACTCTCCTTTTTCTTTTCTTTAATAAATAGGTAATTGATTATTTTACACATGGATTCTTTGGAGAAAAAGGATTGTAAAGGGAAAAGGGTGAATTTAGAGTTAGAATGTATGCCATTATCCAAGAAGAACAAGTCACACAAGGATGGATTCTCTATGCAAACCAAAAGACCTTGTGATGCACCAAATACACACTAATTTTAGGCAAGTGAACCTAATCGATTATGCAGTATAAGATGAGTAAGATATCGTTCTCTCGAAGACTATCCTACACTACTAAGACCCTATTAATCTAACCTAAGTTGAATTAACCAATTAAATGGGAAAACTAAGCTATTTAAAAGAAAACTAAGTAGACTAAAGAAAATTAAACTAAAGAATTTTCTAAGTTAAAGAAACTATGAATGAGAAAGAACTAGGGTTCGGATTTCATTTAATTCTGAATTATGCAACTATTTTATTAATTTAATTCAAGTTCAAATAATAGTGTTATTGCATGAGATGGCGGATTTCCCTAAATTAATTAACCAGCTTTCTCAAGTCAAGCTAATCCTTCATTTGTTTGCTAAATTAATCATATCTCTATGTAATTTTAAATAAACTAATGAGCATTAAATTCTATGGAAATCTCTAGCTTAAGAAGGGGGAGCTACTAACTCTCTTCTCTTCCTCCACTACCACATGTGAGCTAATTACCTCTCGGTCTCATAGTCTAGCGCACGGTTTATATTATTATTGGTCTAATTTACACAATTTTTTCTCAAGTTCATGCATAAATCACTAAATCAATTGAAAGGTGATCAAGCTCTCAATGCATTAAGTTCAATAATAGAAACTTATCATGCAAATAACCAATAAATCTTAAATTAAACTAACAAAAACAGTCACATATTCCAAACATTAAAATCCATCCATCCCTAGTTCAGAGAAATCTAGCCACACATGTTTATGTTCTCAACAGCCATGAAAAATAAATCCCAACAGAAAATCATAGTAAAAAGAAATCAGAAACAACAAAACCCAAACGGAGAATTGCAGTTTGCCGAATGGTGTGCTGTGGTCGGGATCTCCCAAGAAGGCTGGGCGGCAGCGTGGCTGGGCGGAGAAGAGCAAGGCTGGGCGGCGGCTGTCCTCTTCTGCTGCTGGTGAACAACAGAGGTGGGTGGCTGGGATTTTGGGCGGCTGGTTGCTCTTGACTCTTGCGCAGAACAACTTTTTCTCTCCCGTCTATGTGGCCCTTTTGTTTCTGCCGAGTAGCATCTATATATATCTCCAGAAATTAGAAACCCCTTAACCCTAACAAACATGGGAATTGGGCTTTGGTTTGGGCCTGGACTGCAGTTGGCCCACACCTAGAACACAGCCCAATTCTCTTTATTTCTGCATTCTGTCCATTATCAAAACCGTCACTTTCAACCAAAAATCTGTATTGATACAGCTAGAACTGGGTTAAGCTCATAAAACATCAATTGTAGCTCTACCTCTTAGCTTTCCAACGCCTATAGAATCATCTCAATCCGATACCTATAAAAAAAGATATGGTTAAATTACTATAACATGTGCAAATTGTCACTTATTACAAAATTAATTCATATCTTAATTTCCACCTACACATAATGAAATTAATATAAACAAAGGTGAAACTAAGTTACAAAGGACCCATAATATTAAATTCTAGGCTCAAAAAGGGTAGATAAATGCATATAAAAATTAAACTCATCA